CGAGGCGGGTGGATCACGAGGTCAAGAGATCGAGACCATCCTGGTCAACATAGTGAAACCCCGTCTCTACTAAAAATACAAAAAATTAGCTGGGCATGGTGGCGCGTGCCTGTAATCCCAGCTACTCAGGAGGCTGAGGCAGGAGAATTGCCTGAACCCAGGAGGCGGAGGTTGCGGTGAGCCGAGATTGCGCCATTGCACTCCAGCCTGGGTAACAAGAGCGAAACTCTGTCTCGAAAAAAAAAAAATAAATAAAAATAAATAAATGATATGGCCACATGGCCGGGCATGGTGGCTCACACCTATAATCCCAGCACTTTGGGAGGCTGAGGCAAACGAATCACCTGAGGTCAGGAGTTCGATACAAGCCTGACCAACATGGTAAAACCCTGTCTCTACTAAAAATACAAAAAATTAGCCAGGAATGGTAGTACATGCCTACAGTCCCAGCTACTTGGGAGACTGAGGCAGGAGAATCACTTGAACCCAGGAGGCAGAGGTTGCAGTGAGCTGAGATCACACCACTGCACTCTAGCCTGGGCAACCAAGTGAGACTCTGTCCCAATAATAAATAAACAGTTCAGGTGTGGTGGCTCGTACCTGTAACCCCAGCACTTTGGGAGGCTGAAGCAGGCAGATCACCTGAGGCCGGGAATTTGAGACCAACCTGGCCAACAAGTCAAAACCCTATCTCTACAAAAACGCATGGTGGTGCATGCCTGTAGTTCCAGCTGCTCTGGAGGCTGAGGCATGAGAATTACTTGAACCCAGGAGGCAGAGGTTGCAGAGAGCCAAGATTATGACAAAGCACTCCATCCTGGGTGACAGAGCAAGGCTCAGTCTCAAAAATAAATAAATAAAATGGCCATGAGGTCAAATCCAGAAGCCATGGGGGGGTGGGAATTCATGACACAGACAGAGATTAACTACTCCTGCCTCTCTCTGGGTGTTTAAGGATCCACCCCAATTAATAAGTTTAGATCTTCATATTGCTGGTAACGTCCGCCTAGATACAAAAATCTCGGGCTGGGTGCAGTGGCTCACTCCTATAATCCCAGCAGTTTGGGAGGCTAAGGCAGGAGGATCACTTGAGCCCAGGAGTTTGACACCAGCTGGGCAACACAGCAAGGCCCCACCTCTGCAAAAAAATAAAAAATTAGCCTAGTGTGGTCGTGCGTGCCTGTAGTCCCAGCTACACAGGAGGCTGAGGTGGGAGGATCACCTGAGCCCAGTTGGAGGCTGCAGTGAACCATGATCATGCCACTGTACTACAGCCTGGGTGACAGCAACACCCTGTCTCAAAAAAAAAAAAAAAAAAAAAAAAAAAAGGCAAGGGCCAGGCCCAGTGGTTCACGCCTGTAATCCTAGCACTTTGGGAGGCCGAGGTGGGTGGATCACTTGAGGTCAGGAGTTTGATACCAGTCTGGTCAACATGGTGAAACCCCCCCTCTACTAAAAATACAAAAATTAGCCGGGCGTGGTGGGAGGTGCCTGTAATCCCAACTATTCAGGAGGCTGAGGCAGGAGAATCACTTGAACCCGGAAGACGGATGTTGCAGTGAGCCGAGATCCTGCCACTGCCCTCCAGTCTGGTCGACAGAGCAAGATTACATCACACACACACACAAAAAGGCAAAACTCTACAGACACTTTTCATATTACTTTATGAAATAATTTCTAGCAAGATAGTTCAATGCACCCTTGAGCAACTGCAGCCAAATTGTCTAATGACAAATTCACTGCCTGAAAAAGGGTCTTGGTGAGAAGTAACGGGAATTTTTTTCAGCCAGCGGCTGCCAGAAGTCCACCAAACCCTGACAAATTTGTGGAATAAGGCTGTCTCTTTACAGCCCTCTAAGTTTTGACTTGGAGGTCCACCTGAAGATAGAGCTGACATCACCTCTAGGGACAGTCCGTCCCTGGGGTCCTCTGCCAAGCAGGATCCTCCCAGCCGTCCCCCAGGAGGGTTAACTTGGCAAAGGAACACCAGCACCCGAGAGTTAGAGGCGCTTCTGCCCCCAGCTGCTGCGTGCTATATAAACCTCTAACAATCCGCTTTACACCGCAATTTACGGCTGAGCAGCTTAGGGTCAGCAAAACATCACACATTGTTATCCACGTAAATCCAGCACTCTTTCCCCAACTCTGGGTAACGATTTAGACAGCAGTGATGAAGAGAGGTAGGTCTCCCAAGACTGAATCTTCACAGAAGAATGAGCTATAAGAAGAGGGGGAGCATCAACAAATATTTACTAGAGAAAGGGGTTAACCCTATTTATGAGAAGCCCAGTAACACAAGGAAGACCAGAAGCATGCAAAGCTGCAGCCGAGAATGGTACAGGTTCTTTTCTAGCTTCTTCTATTTCTTTTTTCTTTTCTGAGACAGGGTCTTGCTCTGTCTCCCAAGCTGGACTGCAGTGGTGCAATCACAGCTCACTGTAGCCTTGAACTACAGGGCCCAAGTGATCCTTCCACTTTAGCTTCCGAAGTAGCTGGGACTAAAGGCGTGCGCCACCATGCATGACTAATTTTTTGTAGAGATGGGGTCTCGCTACATTGCCCAGGCTGGTCTGGAACTCCTGGTCTCAGGGGATCCTCGTGCCTCAGCCTCCCAAAGTGCTGTGATTGCAGATGTGAGTGACCAGGCCCAACCCAGATTTTTTCAAAGATCTCTCTTTTTTTCCATTCACAAAGGTAACACTAGAGTCAGCCCAGTAATTTATTTTCAGAAAGCTGAAGTCTTCATTTATATACATGCTACGCTTAACGAACGTTGACTGGGTGTGGTGGCTGAGGCCTGTAATCCCAGCACTTTGGGAAGCTGAGATGGGAGGATCACTTTGAGTGCAGGAGTTGGAGGCTGCAGTGAGCTAGGATCATACCACTGCACTCCACCCTGGGTGACAGAGCGAGATCCTGTCTCTAAGGAAAAAAAAATGTTTACGGTCATCTCAAGTATAATTACATCTTGCAGAGAAAATTTCCGTGAAACTACATTATATAAAATCAATAGTAAAATCTAACTTGATGTACTCACATTTAGTCCTTAATACTTTTCAGAAGCCTCTTCTGCTGTGAGGAGATACACTTGGGCTATTTCCCTAAGAAACACCATACATAGCAATGACTCTCCACATTCCTAAATGGAACGTCATTACTTAAATCAGTGAGTGGCTAAGACAGAGGCCATAATACAGACAGAATCACAACGCTCATGTCACAAATGACAAGGAAGCCATGACATCTGCTCTGTCAATTACAGGCCACTGTAAACACCAGCATCTCTCAATACCTGCAGGGCGGGCTTCGCAGCCAGCCATAGAGACAATGCACACCTGTCCTAAGGTTTCACCAGAATCAATCACACTCCAAGTGGGAGGGCAGGACCACGGTCCGACACCCCGACAAGAGGGGTGCCTTGGGCTGTGACCCTCCCTTGACCATCCAAACACAACACTATCCCTAGGGGCATCCTTACACTCCAGATGCAGAGACAAACAGATGTGCCCAAGACATCTGTTTAAGCCCACAGAGGGACTGGACTCAGGTCAGGAGCAGTGGCTGGCGCCTGTAATCCAAGCACTTGGGGAGGCTGTGGCAGGTGGATCACTTGAGGTCAGGGGTTTGAGACCAGCCTGGCCAACATGGCAAAATCCCGTATCTACAAAAATACAAAAATTAGGGCCAGGCATGGTGGCTCACGCCTCTAATCCCAGAGCTTTGGGAGTCCGAGGTGGGCGGATCACCTGAGGTCAGAACTTAGAGACCAGCCTGACCAACATGGAGAAACTCCATCTCTACTAAAAATACAAAATTAAGGCCGGGCGTGGTGGCTCAAGCCTGTAATCCCAGCACTTTGGGAGGCCGAGGCGGGTGGATCACGAGGTCAAGAGATCGAGACCATCCTGGTCAACATGGTGAAACCCCGTCTCTACCAAAAAATACAAAAAATTAGCTGGGCATGGTGGTGCGTGCCTGTAATCCCAGCTACTCAGGAGGCTGAGGCAGGATAATTGCCTGAACCCAGGAGACGGAGGTTGCGGTGAGCCGAGATCGCGCCATTGCACTCCAGCCTGGGTAACATGAGTGAAACTCCGTCTCAAAAAAAAAAACAAAAAACAAAAATACAAAATTAGCCAGGTGTGGTGGTACATGCCTGTAATCCCAGCTACTTGGGAGGCTGAGGCAGGAGAATTGCTTGAACCTGGTAGGCAGAGGTTGCAATGGGCCAAGATCGCACCACTGCACTATCGCCTGGAAAACAAGAGCAAAACTCCATGCCCAAAACAAAAACAAAACAAAACAATTAGCAGGGCATAGTGGTGTGTGCCTGCAGTCCCAGCTATTTGGGAGACTGAGGCAGGAGAATCGCTTGAACCTGGGAGATGGAAATTGCAGTGAGCCGAGATCTCACCACTGCACTCCAGCCTGGGTGACACAGCAAGACTCACTCTCGAAAACAGGAAAAAAAGGACTGGCACCAGCATGAGAGGCAACCTCTCAAATACTACTCCCAATCTGCCTGCAGTATTTTCTGAAATAAAAGGTGTAAGAGGCGTGAGAAGCCGACAGATACTGTTAGGTCAGCCACCTCCTTACAGTCTGGCAAAGGCCTCCACGTGATGACCTTCCTGACTCAGTGCCACAGAAAGTAAGAAAGCAGAAGAGAGCCACACCACGGGAGTAGCAAGGGGATGGGAGCATCTTCGAGAGGTGGACACCTCCCTCCAGAGACACCCTGGGCCCAGCAAGGAGCAGCAGACTGGTTCCTCTGCAGGGTGGGAAAGCCGGCAAGGAAGTGAACTCTCAGAGCAATCAAGGCGAAAGCAGCGGAGGGCAGGGCAGACAGCACTGCAGACATGGTGAGAGCAGCACAGCTCCCAGAGCCTCACGGAAAACAAGTCAGACTCACAACTCTTACTCCCCAGCCACAGAAATGAACAGAAATTCTGATGCTGCACACGCATAGGCAGAGACACAAGGGCACACACATACCTACATTTTTTTTTTCTAATTTTTTTTTTTTTTTGTAGAGCTGGAGTCTTACTATGTTGCCCACACTGGTCTCCAACTCCTGGCCTCGGGTGATCCTTGCACTGCTGCCCCTGTGACCCACCGCCGTGACCTGGGAAAACCTTGCACTGCCGCACCTGTGACCCACCGCTGTGGCCGGGGAAGGCCTTGCACTGCTGTACCTGTGACCTACTGCCGTGGCTGGGGAAGGCCTTGCACTGCTGCACCTGTGACCCACCACTGTGACCTGGGAAAACCTTGCACTGCTGTACCTGTGACCCACCGCCGTGGCCGAGGAAGGCCTTGCACTGCTGTACCTGTGACCCACCACC